TCCCAGCTCCACAAGGTTGTGAATAACTTGCACCAACTTGAAGAAAGTGTATTCTAATCAGCTCTGCATTTTGTTCCTCTTAAAAACTGAAAACCTTTGGTTTTAGATTGCAATTTTATATATGCTATAGAGCAGGTGACTCAGTAATGCTACAAAAGCATTGAGTGTTTCTTGTCCTTTAACTCTGGCTGCTCTTCTCCAATCCCATTTCTTGTTCTAGCACAAGACTGTGCACAGACATAGTAAGAACTGATGCAGGTTAATGTGATGGGGAGGTGCTGGACCTGCTTCCCAAGCTACTTCAGCACAAGGCAACACAAATGCTGATGCTGGCCAAAGAGAAGTGAAGGTACAGAGGGAGGAATGAGCAACCAGAAGTATCAATCAAAGGTGCTTCATTTGGGAGCACTGCTGGTCTAAAATGTACATGAAACTGCCTCTTCAAAACAGCTTCTGTAAAAAGATTCTTTAAAATCCAGATGATTTACAATACTGAATACACTGGTCTACAGCAGAAACAGGATTTTTACTCCTTCGATTTAATTATTGCTGATGTGTAGATTCTTAACATATTTACTAGCATGAACTAATCAAAAAGCATTTACTCATTCCATTCTCATGTTCAACAATTCAGAGAACTCCAACCTCCTCTGATTCAAAAATCAAGCTAAATAATGTACACAGACTGTAATATTCTCTTTGGAAATGGAGAAGTTCATTGCAGACTCGACTGACCAAACTGTGTCAGACATTATATACATATACACTCATACACTGTATGACTGTGCTGCAGAGCAGAACACTAAAAATTGGCAATTGAGCATGACCATAAAGAACAAATACTTTCCCAACTAGTTTGAAAACATACCTACCTCAGTTATCCCCCAAACACTGTTTGACTTGATTTATGTTCTGCTGCTTTAAAAGAAGAAATGGGTCAATATGAAATAATGCACATACTTGTAAAATGGATATTCATACCCAAAATAAACTTTCTCTTGGGAGAATATTTTTAAAGCAGCATTTAAAGTCTCTTGGCAATGGTTAGCTAGAAAATTTATTTATTTATTTGTTTAGAATAAAAGTTCTCAGAATTTTTTTACTAACATTTAAGATCCTGGGAGTAAACTTAGTAATACAAGTTTCTCCCAAATTAATTTTCATTCCATACAACATTTAGTATTTATACATGCAGAGGAATGCACAGTATGCATTAATGCAGGGAAAATTTTATTTAAGAAATGCATGGGCTACTTTACAAGAGATTTACAAGATGTGTGCACAAACCATTCAATTTACTGCATGCTGTTGAGTCTAAAGCCTAAAAACAAAAACATTACCTTGTCTGATTAGACTTTTCCTCTTGCACCTACATTTTTACCATTTGGCATACAAGTATCAACAATTTATGATTTGCACTTTCTCAACAAAAAGTTCAAGTATGAAACACTAAATAAATACTGTTTGTCCTCAAGACACGCAATAGTTCTTTTATACAGACTGTGAAATGGAAAAAGTACTTAGAAGCTGACTATGGTTAGTGACTCCTAATTTTTTCATTAAATGTAAAGACCTCTTTGCAATGACACATTTGAAGCTTCATTTTAACTAATAGACTGAAGCCACCATTTTAGACCCAGCCACAGATTTTTTTAAGGAAGTGGCAAACCATTGCTGCTAGTTGAGAAAATGAAAATTAGTCCCTGGGAGAGGATACAATCAATGGTGTGTTAATCTAACCTTCAGCTGTTAATGATTTGCACTACTATTTCCCCTGATGCTGTGGGTTCTGCTGAAATATTGTTTTAGCAGTTTCTGTCAACTTTCCCTACCTTTTTTCTTCCTGAAAGGGACATACTGAAGTGAAAATCTTAGCAACAGATTTTTGCCTGTGCTATTTTTTCCCCATTTTTGTCTGACCCAGTTCTTTCACACCATGGAAGCACGAGACAGAAGGGTAAATTGTTCTGTTTTTTTCAGTTAGAGCCTTTTTAGCCAGTCTGTTATTCACAACTCCTCTTACTTAAAAAAGAGGTGTTACACTAAGCAGTCACCATTAGAATTGCAATATTAACATGAGATTAAATAATTTAGCAAGTCTGTATTTTGCCTGCTTCTTTCACATTCACACAAAAAGCTAAAAGTTTTACAGGACTCTTCTTTGGAAAGAACTGCTGAGGAGGGTCTGGTATTTCCAGTCACGAGAGCTGTGCAAGCAACCTGGAAGAGACTTCTTGTGCTGGTGTAACAATAAATAGGTGCGCCGATCCTGGAGATTTGCCTGACCCTGCAAACTTTCGAGTCCTTAAGGATCATTCGGTTCACTCAATTGAAACAATCTTGCAAAAGAAAACTGCATAGCCCACAAGCCAAATTCTGCAGCAAAGGACTGAGTGCCAAAATAATAAAAGTACTCAGCACCTTGCAAAGCTGCATTCCACACACACAACACCAGTTTTCTTAGCAAGCATTTCTTCCAGGAATGAGTGTATCTCAATCGTTTCAGTATTCTTAAAATAAAGCCAAAAGGACTTGCAAAACCATTCAAACTTACTTTACATGTATCTCAGGCCCTTTGTTTAACTTAATCAGTTCTGAATATTTGAGATGAATTGTGGGATTCATATTCTCTGAATAGAGAGAGACATAATTCTCTCTCAAGTTTTTCCTGGAGAAGCACAGCGACCAAAACAATTCTTATCTCATTTGCTGCTCCTGTGTTTTGGAACACGTGGCATGTGTTGGAAGATTATTTACCTGAAGGAATTTGCTTGATTGGATTCTGGTGTGAGTGTTTTGTTTTCTTGACCAATCTGTGCAAACTGTCACACTTGTGACTGTGCCATGACATTGGTCAGGAGACAGTCACAAGATTAGTTCAGTTGAGTGCTTGTGCAGTTTCAGTTTAGATGTAGTGTAATATAGTATAGAATAATATAGTATAATAAAGTAATTAATTAGCCTTCTGATATCGCGGAGTCAGATGTATCATTTCTCCCTGCCACAGCAGTTGCCTTGCTTTACAATAATGAATAAAGGTAAATATTCAGCATGACAAGCCTGTCAAGTTTAAAGAATTTGGGCTAAGTTGAAGAAGCAACATTTGATCTATTTTAATGTTAGCTTCATACAGACTACAGTAGCCCATTATCAGGGTCGTGTGTTGCTGTACACAAATCTAATTTGTTCATAAATATTCCATTAATTCATAAAGCATACTGAAAAGTTTAGTATTGCTCCTTCAAGATCATGCTCACAATTAATTAGGAATTATTTGAATATAGGTACACTATCTGTAAAAATAACTTCACTAAATTTTCAAATAACTTAGACATAACTTTGTTTGAAGACATAACTTTATGGTTGAGTATTTCTCATATTGAAAGCTCATGCCTCTCTTTTTCAGATATTTCAAGAGTTTTGGACCGTGTCTTTAGAAGGTTTCATAGGGGATATTTACTACTGATAATTAACATAATCTAACAGAAATTGTCATTGTACCTAATAGACTTGTCAAAGACTGTATTGATTAAAAAGTTTAAAAAAACCAACCAAATGACAAATGATCAATAGATTACAAAGAGAGTGATTTACACATTTCACAAAATGAGTTCTACTAGCCAGAAGGGATAATTCTTTGGTTTTTTTCTTGCTACGCTCTTTTAATGTATTTGATCAAGAATCTGGTATGAAAGAAAAGATTTTTAGCAAAATTTGCAGTGACATAAACCAGGGACTTCTAGGTAACAAAGACAACTTTTCATGGATTCAGGCTACTTCAGGAGGACCAAATGTATAATCCATGTATTTCTATGTGGCCAAATATAAGAACATATTGCCTATGAATGAGGAATGTAAGCCACAGAATCCAAGAAAGTATCCAGGGATGAAAGACAGCTCAAAGGATCTGGGATATATAAAGGGAGGAACAACAAGTAGAAATAGAGAACAAATGACTTCATTATTTGGCACTGATGTAGTAATTTCTGAAATATGGAGTGCACTTGAGACATCAACACTAAGAAGGCTGAAAAACTGCAGAGGCTTCTGAAAAAAAGCTGGGGGAATAACAGAAAGGCTTGCAAATACCATATAGTAAAATTCAAATGATAAAAGCTTTTCTTCTTATAATGAAGAGATTATATACAATTTGAAGGTCACCTGCCAAGTCACACACAGGGAATAGAAATGTAACCCCATTTGAAAAGAAAAGATGCAATAAAATCTATCATCTGGAAGCTCATATCATGCAAAGGCATATCTAAAACATGATATTACTTACAAGTGGCTAAAACTTCTGGCAAACAGAGCAATTCATATAAATAATTTGCTGGATTTTTTTACTGAGATTCACAGTTAATCCACAGTGGCTATTTATTTAAAACACAACTCTACTCGACAAACTAATTCAGGTTAATCTTATGGCATTTACATTGGAGAGTGGATTATACGATCATGTCTGCAGCAATTCTCCCAGGAATTAAAATTCATTGAAGTCAAACATAAGATTATGACTGTCTTCAAAGCACTTTGGATCACATGCATATTCACAGTTCTATTGATCTGGTTACATGCACCCAGATTTATTTTTAACGGTTAATAAAAAACCACAGACTTGGTTTGTTGGTTTTATTTTGTTATCTTTCCATATTTTAATGAAAGAAAACCCAGATTCTAAAATCTAGTCTAACATAAGATATAGTAAAGTCAGGTGAAGTCCCAGAAACAGCAAAAGGTGACAGCAAGATCCAATATAGATTAATATAATTGATGATAAATTGGTAATGTGGAGCTGGAGAACACCCTGTAAGAATCATATTTAGCCTTACAGATTAGAAAGATTTTATACACGGCACTAATATTTAATTGCATAAAGAAAGGTCCAGATGCCTTGTTTAATCATTTTGGATTAGCAATAACAACTTCAATACATAATTATATTTTCTTCCTTCTTAGTGATTAAAACCCAAACAACCTCAAGGCTGTACTCATATACTCACTCTGGTAGTCGGGACAGGATACCCAAGGAAAGAGAACTTATCCCATCATTGATCCGACCCGGCAGCTTACGCTTCTGAATCCAGCTGACAGCAAACTCCAGCCCAATAAAAGTAATGAAGAATGGAATACTCTAAAAATAGTTTGCAAAAACAAAACAAAAAAAAAGAGTCACCACAAAATAAAATTAGATATACTTTTCCAAACAGCATTTTATGCAGTCAGATGCTTCTCAGATTGGCTGGCACTTTAGTAGCTACTGTAATAAAGCTCATAGCATGGACCTTACAAATCAGAATAACCAAGGCTACCATTTGATCCAAAACACCAGCATAAATCTCTTGCAGTAACCTCCTCCCACAATGTTTTCTTTTGCATATTCTGCACATAAACTCAAACATTATCAGAACAAAACACAAGTCTTTCCAAACCTATATTTCTCATATTTAAGTAAATCAGTGAGAGCAGCAGTATCAGTGAGAGCAGCAATATTTGTGGACTCTTCCAACCACAAAGTAGAACAGAAAATAGTTTGGATTTGATATTGTATGAAGTTTTTTGAGTGTTTTCAGCCACTGAATTTGGTATCCAACATTATTATCTGAAAGATATAGTAAAGTGAGTTTCCTTCTACTTGGCATTTCTATTGCCATGCTTTTCACTGCAGACAACAACAGCTCTTCTGTATGTGCTTTCATCAGTGAACGAAATAACTATGCAGCCCGTTCCAGTTTGGGCCATACATCAAGTTCTCTTCCCAGACCAAGTGACAATGATACAATGTTTCCCTCTTTCTTTTGGATTATACGGCCTGCAAACCAGTTTTCTGCCCGTCTGCAGAAAAGTATAATGATGAACAAGACTGGAACATTTCACACTCACAACATTGCTTTAGTTTGGGATTCAATTCTCACTGTCCATCTTCTATCCCAAGAAAAGCTGAAAATGTACAGCAACAGCACCCATTAGTGAAAGGTATAACTGGTGAGGACTCTCAGACCTGTTCTCAATTTTTTATCATCTCAGGCAACAAGAAAAAGGCTTGAGTAACAGTTAAGTCGTAGAGCATTTTTTTTTACTAACACTGGAGTCCTAACAGTCCCTGCACTTCACATGTGGAAGGAATTAGGCAGTGGCAGTTTTAGCCATCGCCCCCAAAATCTACAAGGCCTGTGGCAAGGAAAATGGGAAGGAGTTATCAGATCTCTGTGCAAGCAAATGTTCCTTCAATAGCCTCCCTTGCTCTGTAGAAAACTTTTAGGTGACATTGAAAATGTCTCATAGAAAACTTTGAGACATTTAGACAACTGCTTTTTGGTTATATTAAGGCATAAAATTCCCACCATGTTGCAGAGCAAGAGAAATGCAAGAGTAGTTTTGCACCACTCTGGGAGGAACTACACTGCCATACTTGCCCTGTAAGTTTTCTGCTGCTTCTGCTCCCTTCAAATGGCTTGCAAACACCTACAGCTTCAGTGCCTGGAACCCTCCAAACTGCACTGCTGTAGGAGAGAGGCTGCTCCTGCCCATGCAACATTTTAATAGAAGCATGTTGTCTCTGCAAATACCATTGCATTCTGGAGGGTGCTCATTTTTGTTGCCAAATGAGATATGATCTGGGAATTCCTACTAGGCTGGGACACTAAAGAGACTAAGATGGATACAGACCAGATTGCTCAGTCCAAGAAGAATTGGATGATTCGAACCATACAAACAGCAAGAGATTTATAGTGTCTAGAAAATGTGAAAGTTCACAAACTTCAGCAGCACAGGGTTAGGTTACAATAACAGATGAACAGAGGTTATTATCAACATGACACTTTTTAATTTAGGTGCCTAGCTTACTCTGTAACAGCATTTTAGGCATCTAAAAGCCTGTTTCCGGTAGGCGCCAACTGATGATATAAAAATCTAGAAAGAAAGGGAAGACCTGTAAAGGCCATAAAGCCTAAACAGCACCCAAGAAAACCAATGGGGCAAATCTTTCAATATTTGGAATAAGTAGGAAACAATATAATAATAAAATATATTATAAAAGAGTAAGGAAACCCTAAAACCTTCCATTTGAAAGCAATGAAACATACAAGGAAAATATAAATACTCCTTGTTTTGCTCTCTATATCTGTTTAATTTCTAAGTAGATAAGACTTTTAACATACTTTTCTTAACTGATATAATCAAATAACAGATTCCTAACTTACCAAACAAAGCTTGATGACCGCAGCTGTACATTCCAGCAGAGAAAAGAGAGGTTTAATAAAAGAAAAAACTACAAAACACTTAATGGCAATATTAAAAGGCAGTTCTAGCACAGACTAAGAGCAGTTTTAAGGTATGGAACAGCAGAAGCTGCAGAGCAAATTGAATGGGCTCAGAACAGAGAAATTGAGGTGTTTTATTCATGAAATAAAAACAGTTAATAGGAAATGTACACTGTCTGTATTCCATGTGATGATTCATTTTACCTAGCAACCTCTGAAACAGTTGAAATACTTGATTTTATTAATCAAGTATTATTATTAATGTACATTATTACAACTTCTGTCTTATTGACTTCATTGCATATTTTCGTCCCACTGTGAAGTTGTGAAACAGCCAGGCAGTTGGTGCCACTTTTTGACTCACAAATGGCTGGTGTCATAGCAAGGAGGATAAAGAAACATTCAGACATCCTTAACCTCCTGCTCATCAAGGAGATTATAAAAGAAAAGATTTATGGCATACCCCTTAGTATCTAAGAAATTACTACATCTCTCTCACATACCTACATTAAGCTTGGTCCAAAGCAAATCACTGGGATCAACTACATCTAGGCTAGGATGTATTGATGATGTTACTATGACAGCTATTGTCATGGAGGATGAAAAGGCATTCCCTGACCCAAACTGCCCACAGTGTAAGGATGAAGTGCAATGCAACAGAAGAAGAATGCAAATAATTCAGGCAAAAAAGAATACTGTAAGAGAGAAAATAGTCACACTAGCCTAACCACTACTTTTCTTTTTTCTTGGTTTCTTTTTGTTTGTTTGTTTGGGTTTGGTTTGTTTTTGGCTTTTTTTTTGGTTTTTGGGGTTTTTGGGGGTTTTTTTTGTTTAAGTTAAAAGGACAATGAAGACATTTAAGGAGACCATTGAGGATGGCTATCTCTACAACTGTTTTCAAGTGTTGTCTCTACAAACAAAATGGCACAAAGTTAAGAAATAGCCACTGTTGACATCACCAGTCAGTGACATAAGACAGATCCTTTTGATATCTTCTGTCCATAAATGTTTTACTCTCTCTCTCTCTGTTTCCAGGTTTTTTCTCTTCACCCAACAGCACAAATGCTCAATGGAGATTTGCATTAGCTTGTGGTTTAGCTGAATAACTGATCCATAACATGAAAGCCTTACTCTGAGTACTGTGTAAGAGGGTTCCATTTTAAGTAACCAACTCTACAGAATGCAAAGGACCATTTAAAATCAGTTTCCACGTTATACTGTTGCAAAGAATAATATTCTAGGTTGAAATTCAGCATACACTCATAGTTTTATTGCAATTCTTGAAACAGTTTTTGTTTCCCTAAAGTCCCAGATCTTTATAACATAAGAATCCCAACATCCAAGTAAAACTAAAAAAAAAGTAAAACTATATATGAAGGTTCTGTGCCTCATTTTTAGAAACAAACCCTAAAATCTCATTATTTAGAAGCAAACCCTAAAGTGTGAATTGAGTTTAAATGTGAACTTATTTTTTAGGGTCTCAAGAGAGTAAATTGAAAAGAAAAACAGTAAATTGAGAGGAAAAACCTTTCATTTTGGAGTTCTCAGCAGAAGGACTGTCTCTTCAGAAGTCTGACTCATGTAAGTCTTTACAGAGCACAGGTGATAATTTCAGACCATAGCAAGCTACAAAGCTACAAAGTAAATTTGTGGTTCATGAAAACTATGTTTGGCAAACAAAAAGAATCATTCCACCATCTGTAGATTGTGAGAGAATTAAAACAAACAAACAAACAAACAAACAAACGAAAAACAACTAACAGAGCATGCAGAGCCTAATCTTACACCCATAGAAAAGAGGATGCTCTTAAAATGAATAGACAAGCATTAGTACATCCTGTCCTGGATAAATGAAAGTGACAAACTTTTCAGAAATACAGACAAATTAAGGGATTTGAAATCTACATGACAAAAAGTCTTAGAAAAATAAATTCTATGACGATTATCAAAGACACAAACCCCTTTTCCCAGAATTTTTGAGATATATATTGTCACCCTTTATTGAAAGGGTGACTTTTCCCTGGGCACTGCTGCAGAGCTTTGCTGCTTGTCACTGTCAGCAGCTGATCAGCTAATGTTTTAAACAGGACTTGAGGCTCAGCTTATGTTTTAAACAGGACTTGAGGCCACTCCATACAGCTCTGCCAACATACAGAGCAACAGTGCAAGGCCCATTGCTTCTGAAAACAGAAGCAATGTAACCAGAGACAGAAAATACACTGCACAAGTTAAACAAACTATTCTGTTCTTAGAACCAGAGCTGCTTCACCCCCTGCTGTCATTTCCCACCCAGATGTAACAGCACAGGTAACTTTAGCTCAAAGGTGCCACTCCTGTGAAGTGCCTGTATTTTGTAAACCAACAGCTCAATTCTGCAGGTTGCTATACCCATGAATATTTGGGTGACTTTGGAGGTTCTGCCACCTGTCTAACGTTGGAAAGTGCCTATCCCCACAGCTGTAACCATGTCATCTTCTCGTGTCCTAGAAATACCTTTGTCCATCTGATACCCAAGAGATCAGAGATCTGAGATGCAAATTCCACTAGAGTGTTTCAGAAAAAAAAAATAAAAGGAAAATCCCACACCATTTAGAGACACTAATGTAATCAGTAGTTTGTTTCACACACATATCAACATTATTGTCTTTTAGAGTGAATTATTTGAGCTGAGGCCTTCATTTGTTACCAGCTCTACACTAATATTTTTTTTTGTTCTGTGTTGAATTGAGTTCAGATATCCACTTCTGTGTCTGTAACAATTAAAGGAGTTAGCACTCCCAAGACCTCCTCGAAAGGCTCATCAGGTCACTATTAAATCTACTGCTGATGAATCCAATGAATATACTGCTCGTGTAATTGCTCCCTAAACAGTCAAAAATAGCAGCTGGAGAGGGACTAGATAGCTGCCATCTGCCCATAAACACGGCCAGAAGAGGATGGATGAACTCTGCCTAAGCTCAGACCAAAGCCAAAGAGTTAAGACACTTATGCCACTAAAATACTTCTATATGCCCACTGAGACAAGCATCAAAAGAACTGTTCTGGCAAAAAAATGCACTGTCAGAAGGGAAATCCAGCACAGCTAACCTAAGATAGGAATTTAAGCAAAGTATAACAGTAATGGGAAACCTTTTCTTTAATGCTATTTTTTTTGTGAGAAATAATTCTTTACAAGCTTATCCCAACACTGCTCTACAACAGCAGGAGCCTACAGGTGCTTTCATAATTCAAAGTATTAAAAATCCTTTCACAGACTTACAACTGTGTGCCTTAGCAAAAGAAATTGCAGGTTTGGCTAATGTCTGACCTGAATATTGCACATGGGAGAATAAAGCCCAAGGACATAAAGGTATGTTGCAGACAAGAAAGTGAATGATATTCCATTGGAAATGTGGGAATAGTAAAAGGGACTGAGATAATAGAGAGAGCTGGAAGGAGAGATCAGCTTACTAGGCACAACCATCGATCTTCCTTAATCATGACACTGTAGCTTAGTTGCAAAACACCTCTGAGGACAGCAGTCCATTGACCAGACACTGCACACACAGGCTGCACTTGCAGCAGCTTTCTGCTTACCTCACACAAAAGGGTTTACCTTTGCAGATAACACCCCTCAGTGAGGGACTGCTGCACACTACAGTTCCCAGAAAGCTGCTGACAGTGCTGCACTGCTCTGCACAGCCCATGGCACCCCCACTGCAGTCTGCCAGCAGCTGCTGCACAGCACTCCAAGGTATACCTGTCAGAGGGGCCAGTCAGAACTATCCAAACCCATGTAAAAAGTGCAGCTCTTTACTGAAGCTGGGCTGAATTTACTTTGACAAGGGCAAAACAGTGTTTATGTGCTGTCTCTGTGAGCAGCTGACATCGATCTGGGTTCAGAAGGAGCTGACAATCAAGATTTGAGCAAGAGGTAGGACAGAAGGGAGCAAAGGTATCTTCTTGGAAGTGAATAAACTGGCAGGGCGGGACGGGAGGGAAGATATGCTGCTGCCTGCTGACAAGAGAGTTCTCACCCACGACCTCTGTACTCTTGCCTTGGATATTTAGGACACAGCACTGTCCCAACACAAATATTTGTTCTAAATGCTCTTAAACAATCCTTATTTTTTATTTTAATTAGAAACCTTTTATTTTTCTGTCTTTGACTGAGCTTGACTTAAGGGCACAGAGAGACCTGACTTTTTGCTTGCTTTAAGAACCATAACAGCCAAACACAGTATCATATTTTCTTGTTTCCTCAGTTCAGTTTGCTGTCACTGTTCATCTTATCCGTGCTGCTGGATGTAACATTAGAACCAAGCCTCAGATATCTGAGTGTTTCTCTGAAAACTCCAGCTCTTGGTACCCGGAGAAATCATCACTTAAACACATGAAAATAGAGGGCACAGTTACACTGGCAGCTTACAGGCAGAAAGCCCTTGAGAGAAAGACGGTTTTATTTTAAGTTAGGTGTCCTTTCGCGGACATGGTTTCAGTGAGGCGCCCGTGGCTTTCGAAAACAGGCGCAGGTGGGCGAAGGGAAGGGCGAGGGATGCAGCCAGGGTGGGAAAGGAGGGGACCCTCACCTTCTCTACGTAGTCGGGCACCTCCTCCACCGTGCGGAAGGAGCTCTCTCCGGGCGTCACCGCGTAGAAGAGGGCGCGGAGCTGCTGGCCCGGCGCGGTGCCCCGCGGCCCGCCCGCCTCAGCGCCCATGGCCAGGCCGCGCTGCGCCCGCTGCGCTCCGCTCCCGGGACGGCGCGCACCGCCCGCCCCCGCGCCGCCCCGCCGCGGCCTCGCCTCGCCACCCCGTGGGCCCGAGGGCTTAAGGGCTGCCTTGGAGAAAGCCAACAATTTCTGCCTCCCTGGCATCGTGCTGGTTCGGAGGCTTGCTTGGGTTTGGGGGCTTTTTTTTCTGTATGTGTCATCACTGCCTGGCCCGATTCTGGCAGCTGGGAGAAAGCTCTCGCGCACCCCAGCTCCCTCCTCACCCTCAAAAGTCTCAGAACCTCAAAAATCCGCAGAGCTCAAGTCACCCTTTCTCAATTTTAGACAGAATTCGACGCAAAAATAGAAATTATTGCTCAGATTTGGAGTTCAATAAAAATAAAATGTTGAGGGTTTTGAGAAACAAGCCAAGGTGTGCTCATAGACTCCTGTTCAGCTGTATGGGTTAGTCCAGAATTGGACCAGGGTTTATCATGGCTCCATTTTATATAGTTTCAATTAACATCACTGCATTGAAGGTAGCCTCTGGAAGCCATCTATTATGCTTTCATTTATGAAGGAATGAAACTAGGAAAATAGAAATGGTGAAAAGAGATATATGCTAGGTCCTTGTAGAAAATTACTTTCAGAAATCCGAGTAAGGACTGACTTTCTGCATTCAAGATCTTTGGTCTGAAGCTCAGGAGCATGTCAAATGTTTGTCAATCATGCTTGATATTTGGTGTTAGTACAAATAATAAGATTTCTGATTGAATAGGTTAGCCAACAATAAAATAACACAATGTCTCAACAATCCCTTCATCTCAAATGTACAGTTCCACTAACAGTCTTTGCAGAAGAAATGAACTGCAAATCCCGCTGTAAAAGAATTTACCACAATTTAAATTCTAACAGTCATTAAAAAAGATTTTTACTTTTCCTTTAGCTTTGGAAAGGAACTATGACAGGTAATTTCAGCTGAAGTTTCTGTTTAGGAAAAGTGCAATGCAAAGAAATTGACATTTAAAAAACTGAAGTATTACACATTTGTGGTGTTTGTATTAAATAAGTTTCCATTTAAGCAACAGCATGGAAGGTTGACTTAAACAATATTTTGCAGTTTGAATAATGTTGTAATACTGTAGAGAATGGCTATCAGGAAATTACTGGAAATACCAAAAAAATATTTGACTTTTAACTGAACAAAGCAAAAGTATTGTAAAAGGGCATTGATGATGAAATAGAGTTGGACACTCTCTTAATATGTATAGTTTATACTAATATTATAAGTAAAAAAATTATTAAATTTATTGAAGTGCTTTAAAATTGTATCCTAGTGTTCTCAATTTCAATGGCGATTTATGATAACCTGAAATTCTTATAAAACTCTAGTTGTTACATACTAAAATCTGAGTTAATCTAAATAAAAATTCCAAATTTACTCAAAATCACACAAATCAACAGCATTCTGACTAGATCTTCATGGCAGGCAATGACAGAAACATTAGCTTGTTCATTTAGATTAGCCTCAATATTTCTATGACATTACTCTCAAGTTCAAGCCCCTTTAACTCAGCCTCACCTCAGCCATACCATCTCACCCAGACCCCTTCCTTGGTCTTGTGCTGGTGTTCATCTTGCTCCATCGTCAGCTTTCAGAGTTAAAATGGCCTACACTTAATCCCACAGAAATTGTTATCAGTGAACTGGGGACCATTCTGGGGTAAGAATGATTAGCAGGGCAAGGGAGTCCATGGCCACAGAAGGTGAGATACATTTTAAGTACCATGGAACCACTACATCAGATTACACAAATCTGGGAAAGAAGACAAGTTTTTAGAACTTTCTATTAAAGATTATTTTGGACCCCCGTGTCATTGTAAATTGCCACCCCAAGATGACTGTGCTAAAGCTCTTGCTTTCAAACAGGAAGGATGGAAATTGGGCTTTATCATACTTCAAAGGGGAAAATAAAGGGTTGTGTTTTCTAGCTTCCCTGTGCCAGAAGAAACAGGAGATAGCACTACAATACCTGCATTTTTGGTGAGGGAAACAGTTTGAAATCTCATCTGGAGCATTTATGAGTGTTTCACAAGCTTCAGTGGTCTGGCTCTGCCACTGTAGCTGCTGTTGTTTACTTCTGCCTTGAAACTTAGCATGCAGTTTTCAGTGCTCCTTCTTTCTGATGTTAAGAAAGTAATGGAAAATAAAGGAATGTTGCTTCATTGGAGGTACTAAGCCTCTGTCACACAATGCTCCATCCATTCAGTCACGTTGCAGAATTGTTTTGTGAGAGTTAATTATTTTTTTAAATTACTTTATTTTCCTCTGTACAATAAAATCAACAAACAGAAAAGTTAATATTTCCCATCCTACACTGCCATCAAAAATGCAGGAGGATATTCTGTATGGAGACTAGGATCCTGCTGTTGACTAGTAGATAGTTCCAGTAACTAAGGCAACAAAGGCCTCTGTTCTGCTCAGAGGAAATTGGGGAGCTGGCCTAACATGATCTGTAGGTGGATCATATTTTGTTTTCTCTAAAGAACTTCATCCCACCCACTTCTTGAACAGAGAACGCCCAGAGTCTTCCTGTTTAGGTCTCTCTAAGCAGTAAAACAGCACTAAATAATAAAGTCATAAAGGGAATTAGGGCAGGTTGAAATTGGGATGGGCCATATAGTCTGCCTTGGCAGTCATTCACAGTAAACTAAATCATATCCAGAACCTAGCTGGGCTTAGTATGCTCTGTTTATGTAGTAGTATCTGCAAATAGAAGAACTTTAAAGGAGTACACTTTAAATGAGTACACAAGTAGATGTCAGAATTTTTGTATCACCACTCCAAGTACACAGCACCTACATTCATGCTTTGCAGTGGATATCATCACAGAAGCACTAAATGTAACTGTGTTAATATAAAACTGGTATTATAAAATATTTTCAGTGCTGCCTTTCCATTGATAAATCCTACATCACATTAAAAAAACCCCTACCATTAAAAAAAAGTCAAATGTTTATTTGTTTCTATTATAAGCTGTATATATATATATATCAATGCACAAGTCTTAATAAGAGCTAATGGCTCCAGAGACCTGCAGATAGGGGTGTTCTTGAATATTAATCAATGTTGTGCCATGCATTTGGCAATTTACTGCTAACTTTCTATTTCTTCTACACAGAACTAGTAGCCATAGAACAGGGAGCAGTCATCAGGATACTCAAGCAGGCTGAAGAATAAGGCAGACACTATTTTGGGGTATTTTTGTAATATTTTCCATCATTGTATGCACTTGAAATAATTTAACCTTTTGTTCTAACTGAGGAAAAATGTGTTTTGGTTTTTTTGTGTGAGAGGGAATGGGACGGGAGTTTTACTGGAAAAATAAATTCCATCTTCAAGGCAGACTTATCAAGTGAGTAACTTTAGAAGAACAGCCTGCCCACCTGTTGTGAATGTTTCCAAATTTTATCTGGCATGCTCTGCTGTGCAATTTCTTGCACTTTTATTTCTGAAAAACTTAGTTTAATTTTTTAGGAACACCAGAGTTCAGGCTGCTGTGTGCTGCAAACTACATGTTAAATCACCATTATGCAATTTACAGATATCTTATACATCAAGATCATTTTATTAGATATGTTATAACCTATTTAATAGCACTTTGTGTCACGTGCCCAGTGATTGTTACTGTTTCTTATCACCAGAACAATCTTGTGTTTTTGAATTAGGAATGGATGAATATCAACACTAGGTAGATCCAAAATTATAAAACATCTTATGACATGAGAGGCACATGTGGGATTATAGCACATGCTACCACTTTACTCCCTGTGCACAAGTAGGAATAATTTGAATAATTTCTGAGGAAGCAGAGAAAGTACAATTTTTCAAGCAAGGCTATCCAAAATGCTGATTTTTTTCTGGTTTGTTTAGAGAATTATGAAGAGTATGCCCATATACATGAACTTCAACAGAAAGACTTTTGTCTGTTAACACTGGACATTTTTTAAAAATCTACTCTAGTATCAGCAGCAGATGTACTTTATCAAAGTCATTGGGTAATATTTTAAAACTTGAGACCTTCAAGAATCATTTGGCTTTAAATCAGCTGTTTTTCTTTACTATAAGGAACAGAGAATAATTTTTCTTTCCTACCACATAGCTTCTAAAAACCACATAGCTTCTACTTCTTTCTAGCCTGCAAATCCCTAGTCCTTGAAAAACAGATTGTTTTCTGTGGATGACTCCTTTAAGTAAATTACAGTGATTTATAAATGCTGAGTGCAATTAATGTGTTCGAATAATATAAAAAGACTACAAAGCTTAGCTACCAAAGGCAGTAGAACACTTATGGAAAGGTGGAAATTCCCTTTACTTCCAAGGAATACCTTACCAGGGCCCCTGGCAGACAACAAGCCTCCTGTGCCAGTAGGCCTGTATGGAGATGGACACTGCCAGCTCCCCAGCCCGCAGTGAGTCCCCAGCCACTGTCCCCTACCTCTCCAGAGCAAACACACACTTCTGGCCCAGCTGCCTCTGTGCTCCTGTTGTGCAGAGTCTGTTCTCCCTCCTCACCTTTAAGTCAGTGCATCAATTCCACAAATTCAGGTCTGAGGGCAAAGAAAATGCCTTTTTTCCTGCTGCCCAGAGACACAAGCTGACAGCCTTCTCCACTCAGAAGGTTTCCATCCACCACTCATCCACAAGTAGCCTCTTGCTCCCCTTGGTTTGTTTCATGCTGCTCCAGGGACACTGTGAAAACATTTCCCGTCACCTGCCTGCCATCCTTGAAGCCACATGGTCATACACATCCTCCTACTCCTCCTCTGACCCAGTGCCAAAGCCCACCTCCCACTGTGAGACCACCCCAGGAAGAAATACCAGGTGCTCCCTGGAGCCTAAACCTGAATAAGGATGTGCTTCACCGGTCCAGTTCTTTTGATAATCCAGGTTATTTATATGTTACATGTTGAGAACTAAACCTTGCAATATTGTACAATTGCATCCTA